CGCCCGAAAACTGACCAGCGCCTGATTCAACAGCGTCGTAACACAAATATGCGGTCAACTTGTCTGTACCTTCACGTCCAGCCCGGATCTCCTTTCGCCCTCCGACCTGCAACCAACTCCGATCTCGCCCTCCGACCTCCAACCAAAAGTTATTCCCGTGAGCCCGATGCCATTCTCATCGTTACCCGTTATAGCCCCGAGCCTCGTTACTTCACCCCCATCATAGCTATAAGTCCCTTTAATGAGCTTTGGAGCGATACCTGTCTGCTCACTCGACTGTCGCGGCCAACTGGCCTTCCTTTACATCAGGAACGCTTATATGTCTAGCTTATTGCTATGTTACTTAGGATCGCCTGTAGGTCTAGCCTCTTTTTTAAAGGGTCCGTCGTTCATTTAAAAAACTGGCGGATGAGTGGTTGGATGGAGGATGTTGCTAGTAAGTCCAGCTTCTTTTCTTTGATCCTTTTGTTTTTGTGTCTCTGTCTGTCTGTCTCGCATTTCCCTAGAACTAAATTACCTTAACTGCTCCGACGTGATTCTTGTCATGCAAACAAACAAATAAATGATTTTAAAAAAATTATTTGCTTCACATCCGAGTGAGTTTTATCGCACGATTCCTGTTAAGTCTGCAATGATGCAGAGAACCTTATTTATTCGAGTCATTGATCAAGAGAATCCATAGTACCTGGAATACATCGGTAAGATCTAGCACAAAAGTTTAGAAAAAATTAATTGAACCTGCCCAAGACAACAACCTGTCCAGGAAGACAAAAGTGATCATCATAGACTGGCGGTCAGTCTTGGGCAGTGCCATTAAGACATCGGGAAAATGCAAGGGGGGGGGGTAGGAAGTGGTTGTTTGTACAGACGGTTGTCTTGGACAGGTGGTCGTTGGAGCAGGTATGACTGTCATTAAGAATAAAGAAATTTTCAACCCCGTTGAAGAAGCTGGCTTTTACAATTATTTAAAGCATACAGGCGAAATAGTCTTGCAGTACATTTCAAGTCTACAACATGCGCAAACTTTTTTGTGGTTTTTATCTTTTGATTTGGGGAAAAGGTTGGGAGACGGTGAGGGTATTAAAGAGCAGTACAAGACAGACAATTTTTCAATGCTTTTAAAACCCTTCCACGTTAGAAATGTTGCTTTTGATCGGAATGTTCACAAAGTGCTTTTCAAAACAACTCAGGGCCTGCAGCAAGAACCCCCTATTCCCTCCTTACTGCTTCTCTCTCTCTCTCTCTCTCTCTCTACACACACACACACACACACACACACACACACACACACACACACACACACACACACACACACACACACAGGGGCAGGTACGAGATAAAGACAAACCGACAGTCAGACAGAGAGAAAACAGACTGACAGACATACAGACAGACGGAATTTGAGGCGCGGGTTGAGAATAAGGGGTTACAGCGGCGGAATAACATGAAAATGATCTGAATTTTTAATTTTTAAAAAGAAACGCATCTAAATTCTCTTTCTCTTTCTTCCCGTTTTTCATTCGTCTGATTGTAATTACTCACTGTCAATCTCCGATTCTCGTCTGCTCTGCCTGATAGTTAAACTTTTTCTTTTGTCTTTTCTCTTTTTGTCCTTTATCTTTTTTCTTTCTTTCTCTCTGTCTCTGGCTCTCATTCTCCCTCTTACTCTTTCTCTCTCTTTCTCTTTCGTTCTCTCGGTGTCTATCTATCTATCTATCTATCTATCTATCTGTCTGTCTGTCTGTCTGTCTGTCTGTCTGTCTGTCTGTCTGTCTGTCTGTCTGTCTGTCTGCCTACCCCTTTCTCCTTCTCTTCAGCCTCTTTCTATTTCTTTCTCCCTCTCTCATTTTCCCTTTTTGTTTTATGTCTCTCGTTGATAACATCCAGTTCTCCTATTTCAATCTCCATACGATCAGAGGGGGTGGAGATGCCGCAGAGCAATTATGTTCCATCCGTAAGTGCTCTTAAACAGATGTGTAAAACAACACTTTAAAAGAGGAAGGGTGCTTTTCTTTGAAACACACAAAAACATAGCCTCAAGGCAACACCCACATACGAAACAAATCAGTGTTCCTGTGTTCTTTCTGCGTCTCAAGGTTTAAAAAAAAAGCTACGTGTATCTTGCTAATCTCAAAACAGAAAAGAAAAGGACATTTGAAATGGAATCTGCTGCAAATGTTCTCTCCAG